TCAATACTCCAAAGAGTACAAGAGTATAAACTGTTCCTCAATACTCCAAAGAGTACAAGAGTATAAACTGTTCCTCAATACTCCAAAGAGTACAAGAGTATAAACTGTTCCTCAATACTCCAAAGAGTACAAGAGTATAAACTGTTCCTCAATACTCCAAAGAGTACAAGAGTATAAACTGTTCCTCAATACTCCAAAGAGTACAAGAGTATAAACTGTTCCTCAATACTCCAAAGAGTACAAGAGTATAAACTGTTCCTCAATACTCCAAAGAGTACAAGAGTATAAACTGTTCCTCAATACTCCAAAGAGTACAAGAGTATAAACTGTTCCTCAATACTCCAAAGAGTACAAGAGTATAAACTGTTCCTCAATACTCCAAAGAGTACAAGAGTATAAACTGTTCCTCAATACTCCAAAGAGTACAAGAGTATAAACTGTTCCTCAATACTCCAAAGAGTACAAGAGTATAAACTGTTCCTCAATACTCCAAAGAGTACAAGAGTATAAACTGTTCCTCAATACTCCAAAGAGTACAAGAGTATAAACTGTTCCTCAATACTCCAAAGAGTACAAGAGTATAAACTGTTCCTCAATACTCCAAAGAGTACAAGAGTATAAACTGTTCCTCAATACTCCAAAGAGTACAAGAGTATAAACTGTTCCTCAATACTCCAAAGAGTACAAGAGTATAAACTGTTCCTCAATACTCCAAAGAGTACAAGAGTATAAACTGTTCCTCAATACTCCAAAGAGTACAAGAGTATAAACTGTTCCTCAATACTCCAAAGAGTACAAGAGTATAAACTGTTCCTCAATACTCCAAAGAGTACAAGAGTATAAACTGTTCCTCAATACTCCAAAGAGTACAAGAGTATAAACTGTTCCTCAATACTCCAAAGAGTACAAGAGTATAAACTGTTCCTCAATACTCCAAAGAGTACAAGAGTATAAACTGTTCCTCAATACTCCAAAGAGTACAAGAGTATAAACTGTTCCTCAATACTCCAAAGAGTACAAGAGTATAAACTGTTCCTCAATACTCCAAAGAGTACAAGAGTATAAACTGTTCCTCAATACTCCAAAGAGTACAAGAGTATAAACTGTTCCTCAATACTCCAAAGAGTACAAGAGTATAAACTGTTCCTCAATACTCCAAAGAGTACAAGAGTATAAACTGTTCCTCAATACTCCAAAGAGTACAAGAGTATAAACTGTTCCTCAATACTCCAAAGAGTACAAGAGTATAAACTGTTCCTCAATACTCCAAAGAGTACAAGAGTATAAACTGTTCCTCAATACTCCAAAGAGTACAAGAGTATAAACTGTTCCTCAATACTCCAAAGAGTACAAGAGTATAAACTGTTCCTCAATACTCCAAAGAGTACAAGAGTATAAACTGTTCCTCAATACTCCAAAGAGTACAAGAGTATAAACTGTTCCTCAATACTCCAAAGAGTACAAGAGTATAAACTGTTCCTCAATACTCCAAAGAGTACAAGAGTATAAACTGTTCCTCAATACTCCAAAGAGTACAAGAGTATAAACTGTTCCTCAATACTCCAAAGAGTACAAGAGTATAAACTGTTCCTCAATACTCCAAAGAGTACAAGAGTATAAACTGTTCCTCAATACTCCAAAGAGTACAAGAGTATAAACTGTTCCTCAATACTCCAAAGAGTACAAGAGTATAAACTGTTCCTCAATACTCCAAAGAGTACAAGAGTATAAACTGTTCCTCAATACTCCAAAGAGTACAAGAGTATAAACTGTTCCTCAATACTCCAAAGAGTACAAGAGTATAAACTGTTCCTCAATACTCCAAAGAGTACAAGAGTATAAACTGTTCCTCAATACTCCAAAGAGTACAAGAGTATAAACTGTTCCTCAATACTCCAAAGAGTACAAGAGTATAAACTGTTCCTCAATACTCCAAAGAGTACAAGGGTGGACGCCGGTCAACGCGTAACCTTAGGTCAACGCCAAGCAACGCGTTGCAACAAAAGTCAACGTTCGACGATTCGAAACCCTAGGGTGGACGCCGGTCAACGCGTAGCCCTAGGTCAACGCCAAGCAACGCGTTGCAACAAAAGTCAACGTTCGATGATTCGAAACCCTAGGGTGGACGCCGGTCAACGCGTAGCCCTAGGTCAACGCCAAGCAACGCGTTGCAAACGAAAGTCAACGTTCGACGATCCGAAACCCTAGGGTGGACGCCGGTCAACGCGTAACCCTAGGTCAACGTCAATCAACGCGTTGCGACACGGGGATCCGAAACCCTAAGCCAGCACGATGTGGCGGAGGTAGTTCAAAGTCAACTCAATGACACGAGCCAAACTCAATTCATCAGCTGCAGACTCGAGACTCCGACGACGGCCAGACGATAAACGCAGCGCCGGAAGAACCTCGGCTATTCGTCAAAGCATCGGATAGATCGAAAATCGAAAGAGTCAAGAGTTGAAGCTAACTACGCCGACTGAAGGCCAGATCAATCACATCCAAAGTATTCCAGCCTCTTCTATAAAAGAAACGAATCAGGAACACTTTGGAGGGGGTATCTGTAGGAATCGAAAATTGCCTATAGTTCTCCACAACCGGTTCAGTGTTAACGAGCGACGATGAACGTCACCATCCAATCCACATGAGCCTAATCGACGTCGACGAACGACTGAAGTGAATCGACGAGTTACATGAGCGGATAGGACTTCGGAATCACGAAGACCCGGACCAATCGGGAAGCCCGGCACTGTTCACAAAAAGGACAACGCCCTTCATGCCTCGACCACTCTACAGATAATCCAATCACCAGAGCGGATCGAACTCTTCGTCACGCATCCAACACATCCGGAATCACTCAAATCCAAGTCCGGACGACGAATCAACGGCAAACACACCCGGAAGGACCTCGGACTGAACTGAGGCACCTGGGGGTGTCTCGGCAAGCTCGAAACACCCGAGGGGTGTCTTGGCAAAACCAAGACAACCCAGGGGTGTCCGGCCAAACCCGAGACACCCTAGGGTGTCTCGGCTTGGCCGAGACACCCCTGGGGTGTCTTGGTCTTGCCAAGAAGACACCCCAAGGGTGTCTCGGCCAAATCCGAGACACCCCAAGGGGTGTCCTCACCTTTTACCACCCCCCCTCCTTTTGGCCTATAAATAGACCCCTTGGGTCCTCATTCAAAGGGCTGGGATTCTTTTGTCTTGGAGCAAGGCTAGAGAGAGGAGGGAGAGGATTTTTTTAGAGAGCAGAGGCGAAGCCCTGTCGGAGCAAGGAGTGAGCGAGCCTTCTGCAGCAAAGGAGCTTTCTTCTTCATTCCTACTTCTCTTTTCCTTAGTGTTGCCCCTTAGCGGTGATACTAAGTAGAGCGAATATCTCGATTATCCGAGATAGGAGCTGTAAACTTCTAGATCTCACGCAGATCGACGAAGTTCAGAGTTTCTAAAATCCCCCCGCGGAGATCTGATTGCCCCGGTGGTCCACGGATATCAACGTCCCCGTCACAGGCCAAAGACCCACGCAAGCAAGAGATGACAAACAGCTCTTGCGTTTGTTTGAAAGGAGTTGCATTTATTTTGTTTTCATTGTGTATCGGTCTTATAAAAAGGTTATCTTTTTGTTTCATTGTAACGATCAAAGTTGTAATGAATGCAGCAATGAATACATCGACTTTTTCCGCAAACAACAACAAACTGTGTTAAAGAAAAAAAATATATCAACAAAGTAGGAGATTATAAAGCATTAAACACTGATATAATGATATTGTTTTCAACTCATAATGATCCAGAAAATAAGTTGAGAGTTTGAGTCTTTGACTATTTGGGGACGGGTCGGGTAGGGTTTGAGATCAGAATGGATAGTATTGCACTATATTCGGTCGGTTCGGGTTGAAAAGTTTTTAAACCAACCCGAACCGTCCTACTCATAAAATCAATTTTTTCGGATCGGTTCGGATCGATTCGGTCGGTTTTTTCGGTTTGAAATGAACTATGCTCAGCCCTACCCCCAGGATTTCAAATCCAAGGGTCAAATCCAAGATCCTAAACACAGCCAAGTAACAATATCAATGATTGAATGGACTATTCCAATATGTCAAAGAATTAAGGGACAAATACTAAGTGACTGTTTGGATTTGTAGGGGGTGAAGGGAAGTTAAGGGAAACTGAGAGAAGGGAAGGGAAGGGAAGGGAGTTCCCTTTCCCTTGGTTACACCCCAATTTGGGGGGTAACAAATTTTATACTATTAGAGGGTGAACCAAGGGGAACTAGGGTGAATTAACTTCGAAACTTCACGGGAGTTGAACTCCCGTGAAGTTTTTTGAACTATAAAACTTCACGGGAGTTCAACTCCCGTGAAGTTTCGGAGAGTTTTTTTTAAAAACCGACCTGGTTTCAGCGCTGAGGCTGAAACCAGGTCGGTTTTTGCAATTATTTTTGAATGGGGTTGTTTTTGGGGAATAAAAGTCCAAATAGGTTGGTTTTGAAAATTTGTCCCCTAAAGAAATCTTATTATGGCACCCATACCAAACACCTGGGGGCAGGGGCCCACATTTATCTCATAGGTTTAAACTAGGCCCACATTTATAACGCAGGATAGAGAGATTTCACGGCGCCATCCCGGCGAACCCTAATTATCCATGATTAACCACAAATTGGTAAGATCCAAGCTCTTCTCTTCACATATTTTTGTTGCAATTTTAGGTATCTTTGTTCCTGTCTCTAAGATCACTTCTTTTATGCAAATTCATTGATTTTACGGTGCTAACTCAAACACCCAGATGGAGCTTTAGGTACTTTAGGTCAGTTCATGATCATTGCTCTGTTTTCTTTCAGAAACTCTGCATTTTTAGTATAATTTTGTTTTTATTTTGCAACAGTCGGTGTTTAACAATGAGACCCACCTCCCATTTTTAGTGATCGTTGGCAATGTACAAGCTCACCGATCCTTTGGGATGAAAGTGTAATTTCTACTTTAGTAATTAGAGTTTTTGTCAATAAATAGGATACTTTTATGTCTGCGTTTGAACCAATATCTCTTGTTCTTCCAAATTCTTATAAGATCATCTTGATTTAATCAGATAAATACAGTTTCGAAGCGCTGGTATCAGCTTAAATTAAGCAATATATGTTGGCAAGATTCAAATACTGTCTCCATTCCAATATTAAAAAAAAAAATTAATTAACATGTAGTTGTGCATAGGAAGGCTAACGGCTTTATACAACGACAATGAACCCGACCCGACTGTTGTAATACCGGGATTTACTGGTTGCACGAGTGAATGTATGAACTGTACCTAATCTCAGGGGAGCGATGTCGACTGAGGGGTTGCGATACCAGTATCTGTATCCCAATTCATGTGTGTATTTGACATAGGTTGCTTAGAACAATAAATCCATCTCCTGCGAATCCGAGATTTCTACCCTTCAGTGGGAGTCACGCATACCATCTGCTCTTGCTTGCTCCAGTATCTTGAGAAGTGGCTTGCTTCCACATCTTCGCCCTTCGTCGAGTGGAGTGTTCCCCCACCTATGAAACCATTTAAATCCTCAGTACATTTTCTTGATGTTCTATTAAGCTGGTAGCGTTTCAAAATCATGCGCATTTTTGTTCAAAGAGATCGGCAATATAGGACCGATAAAACATGAGGACAGAGATAAATAATTCTTATGAAATAGACCATTGGAGGGTATACTATTGACAGTTCAAAAAAAAAAAAAAAGTTCGGCAGTTTACTACCTGTCTTCTGAAAGAACATCTGCTCCGTAGCCGATCAAGACACTTGCCACAAGGTGCAAGCCTTCTGCTGCTGCTACATGAAGTGGTGTCCTCTGATCGTAATTTTTGGAATTTGGATCAACTCCGTTTTCTAACAAACGCCGCAATATGTCAATCTTGCTATTTGCTGTCACTTTGCAAAGGTAGCTCCCAGCATCTTCCAAATTCAAAATCGCACCGTTCTCCACGAGTAGTGCCGCAACTCTGTCGTGTCCAGCCTTTACAGCTTCTAACAATGGCGAGTTTCCGAATTTATCTGCATTTTTTGAGCTCAAGTTATTAGGGACAATCGACATGCAAATTGTATCGGAAGAAATTTAGCATTAATTAGCTTTTTAGCTCTATGCTCACCTATGCTATTGACATTTGCTTTGCGTTGAATGAGAAACCTGACGATATCTTCGTATCCTCTTGATGTAGCCATATGCTGGAATCAGAAATGAAACAACAATTAAATCATTTGGAATCTTAAATTTCTTGAAGGGGAAAATAGGGAAGAAAAACACTTCACATGGTGATTTCTAACTTTAAAAATGTCAATGTTTAGTTTCTATATATAGATATCATCTGAGATTCTCTCTAATAATGCAAAGATGGAATTTTTACGCCCCGAGTGAAGGTTCAAAGGGCATACCAGTGCTGTTCTTCCGTCGTAATCAGTTTTGTTTGGATCTGCACCCACATTTATCAATCCTTTAAGGTGGTACAAGTCACCATGGAAAGCTGCACTATTCACTCCCAATGCTAGCTCAGCCTCTTGCTTGGCAATGAGATATGTGATATCTGACTCCAGTTGCTTGATCCTTAGATCTGTTTCTTTCCCCTGAAAAATTCAAGATAAAGATAATTTTAGGAACAAATTAATGTTGTTAGTTCAATGCATTATTTTGTGCCCAAGATACCTTTAGTAGATTACTAAGTATTTGTCGGCTATCCTTGAAATACAGCTGTAGAATGCTTGTTAAAGCTTGCTTCTCCATTCGGAGGAGCCTGCATAATTCGCAAACACGAACAGTGTATGGCTGTGGTATATTGCACAATACTGCAACTTCGCCAAATATATCATAAGTCGCGAGCTCTGCTATGGATTCTTCTGATCCATCTTCTCCAATAACCACCTCCTCCTATTGAAAATAGATGAAATTTCATCAGGATAAGCTCAAAAGGCATGCAGTCCATGTTTATTTTGTATGCTTCCCTCCCTCAATCAGTCATAGCGACAACAATTTCTACAAGAATTAACTGCAGATGGACCCTCTGTATTATCATCTAATTGCGGATAGACCGCTGACAGAATTTTCTTGACACTTTTATCCTTAGAGAAAGAGAAAATTGTTTTTTGACAAATAGACCTCATAAGGGTAAAAGGGTAAAAAAAATTACACTCAAAGGGTGTATCCGCAACAATAGATGTACACGGGGTCTACCCGCAATTAACACTTACTACAAATGTTTGACCACTATTTTCCACATTAGTTTCCTTAAGACTTAGGATTTGAGCAATTACCAGGTGTCCGTGAGAGATAATGTAGATTTGATCCACGGCGCTTCCTTGTTCAAGAATCACTTCCCCTGGAAGAAAGAATTCTTCATTCAACTTCATTACCTGCATTTATCCAGAAATGGTAACCTGTAAACTTATCGGGGCTTCAAAAAGTTGTGAAAAAAAAACAAAATAAAGGAAATCTGCTCATTTTGATAACGATAAACTGAACTTACTATCTGATTTAGGAATTCATCTGAACATCCTTTGAATAGTGGCACTTTCTTTACCATTTCACTGTACAAGGTCTGAGATATCTGTTGCAATATGAAGAATAATATGTCAGATGTACCATCAATTTCTCTTGACAGTTACATGTAGAAAGTCATGAGACATAATTTACCTTTGATCTTACAGCCACTGGAATATCTTCCAGAATGCTATCTCTAGTATAGTTACTCTCATAGTGTAGCAGTAAGTGATCCTTAATTTGTGACCTGAGATCTCTGCCAAGCTTATTTTTGTTCATATATTTGATAAGTTCCGTCATCTTGTCCCGAAACCTCTCAGTTTTAGAACCCTTGACGATTAAAGCAGTCATGTTACCGATCAGATAAGCCCCAAGAATCATATCGAAGGAGATATATATCATGATAAATATCATCTCCCTCACATTGACTGCGTGGATGTCCCCATAACCTGAACGAGAGATTGTTTTGTTTAAAACAAAATTATCAACTTTCTTTTAAAAAGAAATCTCAACTATTCATAGGGAAGTAATTTAGAATGTCACAAAAAAATTGAAAAAAAATAGTGAAATTGAAAAAGAGATGAAGATGAAAAGAGAGAGAAGGAAGATATGTAGATTAAAAAAAAAGCAGAACAGGAGAAGAAAAGGGAAGAAAAATAAGAGAAGAAACTTGATAAACTTTGACTTGGTGGCATCAAGAGATTTATTAGTAAAGAAAGGCCTTTGATTAAGTATATTAAGTGGAATGAAAAGCTTTATTTGTTACTAATCAGATAAGAAATTTGATAAACTTAAAACTGGTGATATCAAAGAGATGTCTTAGTATAGAAAGGCCTTTCATTAAGTATCGAAGGAAATGAAAAGCTTTACTTATTACCTATAGCTGTTTAACCCAAGATGACCCCTAATATTGAAGGGAATTCTGTTACCAATGCGTTAATATCTATAATTAGCCATAATTTTCATTTGTCAGAATTGTTACAGTGTCTAATATTTCTTCAATTGAATGAAAGAAAAGTATTTCGTGTAACTGATCAGGAGTGTAAGTTAAACTGATCCCATAAGCTTAATCTTTGTTGCCCATGCTTCTTTTTTTCCAATTGGAGGTGGAGTCTGCCCGTACTTTTTTTTTTTGGTTAATTGAGGATAGACACCCTGCAGTATCATATGTTTGAATTCTCTACCCCTCTAGCTTTGTTGTTGCAGCTGAGTCACTCAGGGGTTCTAGCTGCAACAACAAAGCTACAAGAGTAGTAAGTTCAAACAACAATGCTACGATATGGTTCTATCCGCATTGTACTGTATTTTTTTCGAGCGCACAGGATTGAGTTCTAAGATGCACTCACCAACAGTTGCCATAGTCACAATAGCAAAGTACATTGATGTTATATATCTCCTCCAGAAATCAATCTCTCTAAAGTGCATATACTGATAATCTCCCAGTTTCAGGCTCCCGATCCACGTATATCCCTCCTGCGACGAAGGCATAGTCGTTGCGAGATAGTAGAAAATACATGCAGCAGTATGAGTACAGTATAGTTCTACTGTGATCAGCTTCACAATCCTTGTAAAGAGATAGTTTATTCGGATGTCCTTCTCCATTTTCTTGAAGAATTTGAGGATGTTTCTTGCTCGATGAAGGCGTATCCATAAGAAATATCTGAAGATTTCTCTTTTTCCTGTTGCCTGATGGAATTGGAGAAGAATATTGATGAGGCAAATTGGTGTGTATATTTTTTCGATGGGAGGTTTTTTTATTTATTTATGATTTACCTTGTATATGGCATCCCATGGGAGGCAACTGAGCAGATCAAGAAGTAAATTATTCTTTGCATATCTGTACACAGTTTGTTAAAAAAAAAACAGAAAAAGAAAGTGTTATGTACTTCAGTGATTTATTTGTTTGAGTTTTTAATGAAAAGAATATTCATTTTTGAGTTTACTTATTTGTGCATATGAAAACTATTAGCTCCGTACCAAATATAATGGAGTTCGAAGGGAATAAGCTAGACATGTCAGCTTGCTTAGGAGAAAAACCAAAACTTATCAAACATGTAAATGAAATTCTCATAATTTGTTCTTTGATCTTTCAACAGCTGTCTAAAAAATTAATGGTTTTACTATAATTAACTAATATTTTTTTTAATTAAATACAGGGTTATAATGTAGTATATATGCTACACCGTCATTTATAGGCCTAAATTATTTTATTATCATCTATCTATTAGTTTGAGGTATCACTACGTGAAAACTGTGGTAACAATACAAAATTGTACAAAATTAAAAATTATAATAATCATATATATTTGATAAAACTAATAAGTTTTTCTCACCGAAGAGCAATACTTCTTCTATCATGGAGCAACTTATAAGTTCGATCATCTCTGTAAGCCACAAAGAACTGCATTATCACATCCGCAAAGAACACAACCTGAATGCAATCGAGAACCTCCATAAGCTCCGGCAATCCCTCGAAGAAACCGAACTCTAATGGCGTAAAAAACGCTGAATAAATAGACCACAAGAAAATTACGTTCTCCCAACACCTATAAAACCTGAAAAAACAAAAATATCAAATTGTAAAACATGAATATTGAACCAATTTTATTGGAAATTATCACTTTTAATTACATTTTCATTTGAGAGAATTTAAGAAAAATTTACATAAAGGACCGCATGCATGCATCAGAAGCTAGCAGGGGGTGCGGACGATGAATAAATTTAAGAAGATTTTGGTTATGTTTCTCATGTTCTTGATGATTTAAAGTTTCTTTAGGTAGCATATATATGTAGATTGCCGGGTTCATTTAAATACAAATTTGAGATGCATCATGCATATATGCATGCTTGTTATTCATTTCAAAAGAAAAAAATTTCATGCATATGCTTGTATATACTATATATAGATGGACTTAAAGTGTAGAAAATTGCAGAAATATTCAAATCCTCTTCACTATCAAAAGGAAGGCTATACATAGTATATATTTTGACCGCGACCACCTTTCGACATATTAATAATAGATTAAGGTATTGATATTACTAGCTAGGAGCTTAGTTAATTATAGGCACCTTCCATTAGGATGAATGAAGAAATTAGCTCCGTAACAATCTTTAGTGATCATTGCAAGGTTCATCTCTTTTGAGAACAAAGCAAGCCTGCTTCCAACGGATCCATGCATAGTATCTTCCCCCTCATCGCTGAGCTCAAACTCTTCTATGTTGATTTCTCCACCGGCCATCTCTCTCTCTCTCTCTCTCTCTCTCTCTCTCTCTACACAGACACGAACACAAACAAATGTATTGGACTAGATCATAATGAAAGGCGAGAGGATGTATTTATAGTGCGTAGTGCTTTAAGTGGCCAGTCATGCTTAGCTCTATGAATGGCCTTAAACTTGGATCAGACTAATGGGATTACGCAAATACACACCCCATGCACTATATATAATAAGGGCTTACCTACTTATTATCTCTAATTTTTTTCATTAATTAGGTACATTGATGTCCAAATAGATCGACTTATATATGTTTTTCATTCGTCAAAGTTGGTTCACATGATGCATCATTATGTTGCATAGAGTTCTTTAATATATAGTGTACTTTATATTAGACATACACGGTGTTTCCTTATAGGTGTTGATCAATGTATATATGCTTTATGTACATTAGAGATTAGTCCGATTAGATATCAATTTTTGAGTACTAATAAAAATATAGAAAATGACATTTCTTTTGTTTTCGAGCACAAAAGAAATCTCTTCTATAAAAGTCTTTTTTATAAAAGACTTTTATATTAGACATACACGGTGTTCCCTATTTGCTTGCTTGAACAGAATCTCTTCTATAAAAGAAGTGGAATGGCTAATTCCACGAAAAAGTCTTTTTTTTTTCACAAGGTATAACTAGCAATTCCCATTTATCTGTTATGGAATCGACCATGGATCAATTCCCCTTTCATTTGGAAGTATTGAATACACCCAAAAGTCTAATTACAAATCTAGAATCTTCAAATCTAGACCACGCGAGCATTTTATTTAAAAAAAAAAAAAACTAGAAAGAAAAATAAACCAAAGGAGAAAACGAAAAAGATTGGGGGATGCACTACAGCCACTAACAATTGAAAAGGTCTGTTAATTAAAGGTTCACGAGAGGTAGTTTGGTTTTTTGTCTTTATTTGTCCACTTTAAACGTGAAATGGGGTATGAGTAGGCATTATCGTGTTCATGCATATATACCTAAATTATGGTGACAATTTTATTTTTATTGATATTATTATTTATTTTTCAAATAAATAGATTGGATAAATATTGTTCTTCTTCTAAAAAGAGGAGAGAACTTATTCTTTTCTAAGGTTATTATAGGGTTCTTGACGTCATCAATTCAAAGCATTTGATAAGTATCAAAACGTGATGGCGAAATTTATTAAACATGAGAGAGAACAAAATAGGAAATATTAACACACAAATTTTTCCTCAAAAAATAATAACACACAAACTTGATCGTTTATTTAAGATATGACTAAAAACAATGTTGCGCGCACACGTTACTATATATAGATAATGTAGACATTACTAGAACAAAGTGTAGTCATTATAGTTAACAATGAAATTGACAATCTATAAAATAGGCAATAAATTTTTTAACCTTTATAGAAATTCATAAAAAGATTCTCTTTTCCTCCCAAGTAGATGGAGCGACATTGCAAAAGTTCATAGAAGAGGATAACTTCGAAGTACATCATTAAAGCAGAGGATTGAAATTCTTGAACTTTTTTATTTTGTAAGGTTGAGGGTAAATAAAAATATTACTTTTTCAAAGGAAAGCTGAAAGGCTATGCTATTAATTACTAATCATTTTGGAGTTGATGGTGAGAGACAACGACATTATGAAAGCTCTTGGACGTGTATTTACAATTGAGTTGATATTGTTGTTAGAAAAATTCCTTAAGGACCCAAAATATGGGACCAATAGGGGGGACAAGTGAGGTGTCCCCCTTCTATTGGATAATGAGTTGACCATCATTAATGATGATCAACGCATTATCCAATAGAAGGGGGACACCTCACTTGTCCCCCTTATTGGTCCCATATTTGACCAAATGCATGATTTATTTTATTATTATTTTTTATTGTTTAATCTTCGAAGGAGTGAATGAGAAAAAGTTTCACGGGTAGAGCGCACCCATGCGTTTCTATGTTTTTAGTTTTTCCTTATCCATCTTGTATCACCATTATTAAGCTCGGTTAATATCATATCTATTAATTATGTGCAAAAGATATATAAATTAATGAAATTCCAAATGTGTACTGAGTCTACTTAACAAATTCAAACTGGATATATAACAAATATACCACCTGTCAAATATTTTTTTCATGATATATGTAGAATTACAAATAGCATTAGAGGCATCATGGAGTTTAAAACATAAGATGTTGATGCAAGGAAAAACATAATAGATTGAGCCTGCAAGATTGAACTTGGTGTTGAGGACCTCTTGGTATCCCTTGGTGTATGATGATGACTTTGGTTAATGTTGGCTTAGATATACAAAAAAATCGTCAAATCTATTTAACAATGTCCCTCCTATGTTTAAGTAAGGCTTTTGATGAAGAGATCAAAGAAGTAGATAATCTAGTTTAGGGTTTTGAGAGAAGGGTCTTATAGACCAAGGTTAGTGGTACCGAGCCGAGCCAAGGTCAAGATAAGTTATTCCTTTATCTGTTGGTAGGCTTTGTGTATTTATATTGCTCGCTTGGGCAGATCAAGTAGTACATGTGTCACCATCCTAACGGTCAATGTAGTTATGGTAGTTACCTAGTCTGAAAGTAAGTCTATGTGGCAAGACCTTATTAACATAGGATGGTGAATTTGAGAGAAGGGCTTGTTCAGACAGCATGTCTTCAAATAGCCCGTCGTCAGAGTCCAGAGGGGATGGCGTCGGATCAAGTGAGGATACACACATCTCTCCAAGGGCCGTATCATAGAAAGTTCCCTCTTCACCTAGATCCTCTGTTGAAACATCTACGGAAAACCCAAGTGTTAAAACAGAAAGAGGAAAAGTCAAGAATGTATGATAAGTGAAAGTCAAATTCACCTCCAACAGATGCGCCAGGTTCCGCAGCCTTAGCACTCGTGTCCGCCCTTTGCAATTTTTCTAAGAGAGCAAGAAGCATAGAAACAATTAGCGGAGATACGAGTTTTAGAATCGTTCAATCCCCGCCACCGGAAAGACGTATTACTAGTGTTAGAGGTACATGGATTCTAGATCCCGTCAGTTGTATCAGGGCCAGCACCGGAGCCCGCACCAACTTCAATATGCATATCCGCTTCCACATCTGCAGGCTCCTCGGTCATGACCTCGTCCGTCTGTTGCGAGAAGTCAGGTCCTTCAAAATAATCAAAGCTAGGGGAAAGAGGGTCGTATGCCTCTTCACCTTCCTCACGACCTCCTAAGATATAGTAATTGCTAAGTCTAAGAATTAATAAGTGAAAGAATCAAAAGACCATGAAGATTTGAAACGTTACCTTCTCCACCAATAGGCATGTCATTGGTAGGCCCCGTGTCAGAGGCCCACCCCGTCGCTTGTAAGCTAGCTTCTTGCGCTTAGCGGGGTGAGCCTCCTCCGGATCGATCAGAGGCCCACCCCGTCGCTTGTAAGCTAGCTTCTTGCGCTTAGCGGGGTGAGCCTCCTCCGGATCGATGACTCGTTCATGAACAAATTTGGAACACAACTCTAGCCCTGAAGCGACTTGAGTTGTAGGCTGAGATCTCATCCGACGCATAAGGTGAGACCATTCTCCTTCTCCTTCCTCCTCAGAAGCTGCACCTGGAAGTTCAACCCACATCTTGTTAGGATAAGTGAATAAAACCTTCATCTTCGGCTTCCTCAGAGCCGGCGAAGGTTTAGGCAAGTTGGACCAGCGAACTCGATCAGCTATCACTAACTCAAATAATTCTAAGGAGAGAGGATCCGACAGACCTGATCTCAGCCCCTCTTCGTCGCCATCGGTTCTGGTCTCTCGGCCACCTGCAATATCGGTTTCGGGACTACTTCACCAGAAGAAAAAATAGCCTCTTTCTGCTTCTCCTGACCAGAAGGACCCGCGCGTTCTTTTCCCCTTCTCTTCTGGTACTTAGCATCATATACCATCCGAGTAGCAATCCGAGCCGCTTCTTCGGCCGCTAACTCTGTTATCGGTCGTATGGGAACGGACTCGTTTGCCACCAAGAGCCATCAACATTGTAGGAAAGTCAACGCTAATCTGTGCTCAACACCGGGGAGGCTGAACCTGGCACCAGTATAGGCAGTTATACTCCACAGCTATGCCCGAGCCCCATCTATCAAACCGCCACGAGTTCGAAGTTGTCGATTCGAATTTGCAATATAAATCTGATCGTACCCGAACTGGTGGGCGAACCGACACGACAGGTACGACTCTATATAACAATGGTTCCGCACCCGGAAGATCATGTAGCCTGACCGAATATTGATCAACCAATCAAAGCAACTAGCATCAAGGGAAGTCTGACATGTCCCCTAGCTTCTCCACATTAACCAACAAGTCACCATGTTGACCCGAAAACCGTGGGAAGCAGGTCGAGAAAACCCAATATTTTTGGTTCTGAAGTTGCCTCTTAATTTCCAGGAATCCCCGTCCTTTGCACCTGCAGCTCTCTATCAATTGGAGAAAAGGAATGGACAGGTCTGCTGAAGTGGGGGCCAACATCATATCTGAGCGATGGAGCATGAACCAGGCTATTAAATAGGTATAGGGGAGCTCCACCTTTGTGAGAGGAATCTGAGCTGACGGCTTATCCTCCCCCTGAGTGAATACGTTCACAATCTGACCAAGCCCTCTATGGATATTCGCGATCATCGCTGGAAGAAGAGATAAATTCTTTCGATGAGCAAGCAGGACTGCAGGATAAATGACTTCAAGAGGCAAAGCATCCGTGGATTGATACGGCACCACGCATTTTTTCAACCAGATAGCGAGATAGCCGGCAAGCAACGTCATGGGCTGGATCGGCTTTACCGCTTGCAACAAAAATGTTTGGAATATGGTTCCAGCAAGAAAGTCATCTTCAACATCGGCTGTAGTATAGGACTGGGTGTTAGACTTTCAAATCAGCTCATTTACTTCTGAAGGGGTCAACCACGTCAACCCATATATCTCCTCACCTAAGCTGCTATCCAGGTTATTGAACAAGTAATCCGCGAACCTCTTCAAACTTATCTGTGGT